AGTGTATTACATGATAGATTTTGATATTTTTAGCAGGAAATCGTAATTTGACACTTTAAACACCTGTATTTTTCTAATCTACCCGAAATGGTAGCTTACCTGATTGTTATCCTCTCCAGTTGGCATCTAGCTCAATCTGAAGGTCTAAATGAGCAGAAAGAATTGTCAATCTACTGATAAAGAAACTGGGCAATAATAAAAGGCTGCTGATTAGCGAAATAATGCTAATGCTTGATCTAAAAGTTGACGATCGTCAAACAGAGAAAGAAAGACAACATATAAACCCATTTCAAGCCTTAGCCTTATGCGATGAAAAATAGCAAGACTAGATTTTAGCGATGCCAACATTGAGTTAGTAGAAGCTCTCTCTTTAAATAGGAACCAAAGGTATAATTAGGGCACGATGGCAGTGGAAATTTATGCTAATCTGACCCAAGCCAGTAGCATCATGGTAAGATGCTTCAGGAAATGTCCCAGTTACGATGTGTTGATGTCAAACTGATTCCCAACACATCTTTTTTTGCACCATGAATATGTGCGCTAAGGGTTCCACTCGTCTTTTTGGGGAATTTGATGTTCATTTGTAATTATTTTCGGTTGAAACAGATGCATGTCAATCACAATTTGAGTTAACTGATATGTTAATCCCCTAGATGTTTAGCCACTCTACAACTCATCTTCGTTTACAAACAGTAGACTGTAGTTTGTCTAATCTATTTTGACATTATCATAACAATGTGCAAAGGAAATCAATAGACAATATGAATGGGCCTTGCAAATATCATATCTGTATATTTGTTTCAATTCTTCAAGTCCTTAATTCTCTGCAACCATATTTTCAACATCATGTGGACTATTGTGCGCTCAGACTACTAGTAATAATAAAGTCAAAATATAGTAGTGATTCATCAAGTACTTTCATAATCTTTAACAGCCGAGTGCACGCAGTTATTTTAGTAGTTTTAGTTTTGCATTCATTTCCAAACTCGGACTTTTTTGTCAGGCGTCAATAGTTGTATGATCTACCTGTTGTCTCTTTGGGTGTAAAATACAAGTTTCTATATTTTGTTTGCTAAGGTGGCAGATATTCACTCCATTATATCAAAAACAAAACAGGGCTATGTCGTTTGACGAAAATGACAGAGAAAAATGTGCGTATTTTGCCATTAATTTGTTTATTGGTTGCATATAAATAAGCATCTCTGTTGTTGTAGCCCTTTTAAAAAACGTTTATATCAGTTTATATTGTTTTAGGGGATTAATGAGATAATAAGAGAAATGAGCAATAGTATACAAAGTTAGCAGATTCGGAGTTTTGCAAGATTTAACTGACACTTGTCATCAAACAGTTCAAAAATATGAATTCATATGCATATGAATATGAAGCACACATCAGTATTTCAAACATAATTGCACATACAAAACAAGCCACAGGTTGCAACTAGACAGCAAACTGAGCAATACTCCATCAACAAATAGTTTCGATGAGAACGATGTTTGCTCAATCTTGTATTATTTGATTCGATTTTAAAATTACGTTAAGTGATTGTCATATTAGTTTTTTATTCTTACTCCACAATTTACATGATACCATAAATTCTACACACCGTCGATACTACTTTCATTTGAACATTTGAATAAAGACAATGCTGATAAAGATTTGTCAAAGCAGTGTTGTCACCTTTAACTGTTTTTTCACTGGGATCTTGCAAATGCGCATTGTACAGCAAGCAAGAAATTACATGTAAATCTTATTAAACCACCTTATTTACTTGTATGAACACTTGTTACACGTGTCTAAAGACCTTACAGCTATGATCTTATGAAATTCCCCATAACAAGAACGTACTACACCTGTCTCTGAGTATGAGACAAACACGTACACGTGTACAGTAGCTGCACACACATCGGTCTTTTCATATGCTTGTCTGTATGAAGTGATTTATACAAAGACCTACAATAAATAACACTGCTGTAGAACACTGAGGTCTAACATAACGAGATACGTAGCTGACAGTATGTGACAAGTACGTGGCACAAATTACAACTATAAATCTCCTGTTGAACTGCTCTTCAAATGTTCGCTCGTGTGCCAGGTACCGTGCATGTCCTTTGTACATTTTTTTTAATTATGACCCGTATCATACCATGCAAGCCATGTTAGCGAAGTGTATGCTGAATTATAATCGGGCACTTCGAAATTAGATAATAAATGAAATTTGATGACATACATTTATTATGTTCGTACCATGCAATACACAACGATACGTTGTATTTAGAATCACATTAAATAATAATTCCTATTGAAATCAATAATCAATTTTCTCGAAGACATCTAGTTTTGAAGCAACCAAAAACATGATATTACCCAACAAACATTTTTACCATGTTCCTCTGTAGACAAAGCAGTGACTGCCATATCGGCGTTTGGCTAGGTGCCCGAAGTAACGCACAACACAAGCGATAGTAGCTAACTATATTCAAATTGAAGTTTCA